GTGATGAAAAGCAAGGACCTATAACTCAGATTACTCTACCCAGCAAAGCTATCATTTAGAATGGAAGAGCAGATAGAGTGCTTCCCAGACAAGGTAAAGCTAAAGGAGTTCACCATCACCAAGCCATTATTACATAAAATGTTAAAGGGATTCATTTAAGAAAAAGAGGAAGATTAAAACTGTGAACATTAAAATGGCAACAAATTTACAACTATTAGCAACTGAATCTAAAAAAACAAACTGCCCTGGCGTGTGGCTCAGTGGTTGAGTGCCAGCCTGCAAACCAAAGGGTCGCTGATTCAATTCCCAGTCTAGGGCACATGCCTGGGTTGTGGGCCCAGTCCCCTGTGGGGGAAGTGTGAGAGGCAACCACACATTGATGTTTCTCTCTTTCTCTCTTCCTTCCCCTCTCTAAAAAATAAAAAATAAATAAAATTAAAAACAAAAAACTAAGCAAACAGTCAGAACAGGATCAGAATCATAGATATGGAGATCATTTGGAGGGTATTAGGTGGAGGGGGATGGGGGAAAGGTGCAGGGATTAAGAAGCATAATTGGTAGGTACAAAATAGATGGGGGGGTTGTTGTTAAGAATAGTACAGGAAATGGAGAAGACAAATAACTTATATGCATAATCCTTGGACATGAACTAAGGGGAAGGACTGATGAAGGGCAGGGGTGTACCAGGTGAAGGGGGGCAAAGACAGAGAAATTGGGACAAGAGTAGTAGCATAATCAATAAACTATATAATTTTTTAAAAAGATAACATTTCACATAGCACAATGGCTGGGACAGTGTGCTCAATACATAAAAACTTAAAAAACCCTTTTGAATGCAAAGGTTTTTTAACACAGGGATGGTCTTCTAAGTCTCAGTAATCTCCCTGATAATAGAGGCAGAGTCACGTGTATGTGAACCACCTGTTCCCGCACCCTCTCTGGGCGCAGCTGACCTCCCCACAGAGGGCCGCCGTGGCTCCTCAGCCCCCAGAGGGCCAGCCCGGCCGTATTGGCTGCTGGCTGGTAGGGCCAGAACTGTTCTCTTCACATTCTTGCCAGGGAATCTTTGGGCTAGAATCCTGTAAGTGGGAGGCCGGGTCAGAGTACATGCACTTGCCGCCTCGCTAGATATTGTCACAAAAGATGCGCCCTCCGCATTCCCAGCAGCATATGACAGCACCTGCTAGTCTGCGGCCTCACCAGCAGACTGTGGCCTGACTTGGGATCTCAGGGTTTTTATTTCGTCATATCATGAGCAAGGCTGAGCTCCTTCTGACCTGTTCAAAAGGCCAAGTGCACTTTGTGCATCTTTTTCATATTAGGGATGTTAACTGCCGCAAAACAATTTACAAATACACTTCCCAGCTAGTAATGTATGTACTTACTTTGCTAATGGTGCCTTTTCCCTATCAACATAGAGGTTTTTGTTTTTAATTTGTACATAGTCAAATTTATATCTTTTACTAGTGTATCTGGATTTTGAAGGAGGGATGTTTTCCTCACTCCTAGGAATTCCCTTATTTTACACTTTCTTCTGGTTCTTAGAGGGTTTCACTCCCCCAGTGACTCCAGCAGCACTTACTGAAAGGCCCACCCGGCCCTTGCTCATCGCCAGTGCTGCTGGTGTAGCACACTGTGTTTCCATGTGCAGTCGCCCCTGAGTTTTCAACTGTCCCGCTGGTCTGTGTATTCATGAGTTAGTTCTACCCCCAACCCAAACTGTTCTTCATTTTCAGGGTATTCCTCATTATTTTGGTTTGTTTTGCAAAATGACCTTTATACTTTTTATTTATAATACAATAATTTTATTTATAATTTTTATTATAAGGATCATTTTCAAGTACACGCCAAAATAACGAAGGGCCCATGTTAAGAGAACTGGCAGGCACCAGAAACCGCCCCCCCCACACACACACTTTCCCTTATAATACAATGTTGGAAAAGATCCAAGTTGTGTGTGTGGTTGTCTCTAGCACGGCGATGGGTGGGTAGCATCATCTTGCTATTGGCAGAAACCGTGATGAAAAAAGATACCAACCGCCAAGGCTGCCTCTCTAACCTCATCCCTGTGCCGCCCTGGAGACCTTGTCACCCCTGCGGGCCATGGCACCTCTCTGTGAGAGAGTTACCGTAAGGTGGGCTGGGGTGATGGCCTCTGTCAGCACTCAGGTTCACGAGAGCCAAGGGGACACCAAGGGTCCGTCTCACTAAGTTCCTACTTCAGCCCAGCACTGTCCAACAGAACTATTAATTAATTAATTAACTTATTTATTTAGAGGGGGAGAGAGGAAGGGAGAGAAACATCAATCAGTTGCCTCTCATATGCACCCTGACGGGGGACGAACCCACAACCCAGGCCTGTGCCCCGACCCACGATCAATCTGGTGACCTTTCGCTTTGGGGAACAACGCCCAACCCAGAGCCACACCCATGGACATATCTTATATCTGCGCCGTCCAATAGAATAGCCACTAGCACATGTGGCTGGTATGCCTCAGGAACTGAGGTTTTTATTTTAACTAATTTAAATAGTCATATGAGGCCACATAAGGTTACTATGTGGAATAGCGCACCTTTGGCTAATTCCCAACCCAGCCATTCCCCTTCCTAGACCTGGGAGAGCAGGCTGAGGAGAGGGCAGGGCAGGAAGCTGAGAGAGGGCATAGGGGCCAGCTCTGCAGGAGGGGGCCAGCCTGAGGCAGCCCCACCCCACCCGGGGGCCCTCACAATGGCTGCCAGCCCGGCATCACAATACCGCAGGCAGGAGGTGAGCAGGGCCTGGCAGGCTGTTTCCTCCAGGGGCAGGTCTCTTTGTCTGCAGACCTACTTACGGCAGCCCAGGTGGTAGAGGGCTGGTTCCTCGGGAATGAGAAAGCACCTAGCAGCTGAGCAGCCTCAAGGTGGAGACCCACAGGAGGAAGCAGGGAAGGTATGGGGGTGGCCCACCATCCCCAGGGCCCAGGTGCGGTAGGGCCCTGCTGCCTGACTGCCAGGAGGCGGAATACTCTGTGAGCACCGAGCAGCTGCTCATCTTCTTCCTGGCAACTTGGTTCTTCTACGTCTTCTACCTCCAGGACTTCTTCTGAGCCGCTCTCCCGCCCACCCTCCCTCCCGCCTGCCCCAGGCTGGAGAGCGACAGCAGAGTGCATGAGTGAGTGCGGTACAGCCCCTGCTAATGAGGACAGACAGTGGTCAAGGACTGGGGCCTCTGCCCACCAGAGAGGGTGGCTAGGATACAGACAAGGTCTCCCCGGCCCCGCACCTTGGAGATGAGCACCAGGGCCCTGCCTCCGAAAGCCTCGGGTGCCACAGCCAGCCTCCTGCTCGTGGAGGGCCCAGGGCTGCGTGCCCCAAACAGGCTTTGTGATGAGTAAACAACGCAGGACAGGGGAAGAGACAGGTGTTCCACAAACCTGTGGTGGGGCGAGGGAGCAGTGCCCCCTTGACTACGTCAAGGCTGTAGTCCTGAGTCTCCGTCAGTGGAATCCGTGTGTCCACTGCTTTGTGCCTGGCTCCGGGCTCCAGTGAGAAATAAACTGTCTCTGAACCTCACTGGGCACCAAGAGAAAGGTCATTCCCATTTTCTAGGGAAGAGAAACTGAGCCCAGCAGTGCTCGGCGTGTTTCCAGCAAGGGTGGTGCCAACAACCACTTCCTTCTGGGGGCCTTTTACAATGAGCTAAGGAAGGATGGATCTCCAAGGAGGAGCTGTGGCTCCACCTGGTCAGAGAGCAGGCACTGTCCACTCTGGTGGCTCTCATGTCTGGTTTCCCACGAACAACACCTAGGAAGCAGGAACCTATTCGAAATGCAGATCACCAGGCCCCCCACAGGAGGGAAGGCAGCTCCACCCTCATCTGGGCATGCTTTATGCTGACCCCATACTGGTGGCTCCTCTGGCTCCCAGGGGTGGGGCGAACAGGACAGCCCCCAGAGGGAAGGGCTCCCTGAGGCCATGGACCTGCTGGGGGACCAGGCTGTCACCCTGATGCCATGACAGGATGAAGCTAGGAATCCTCCCCACTCCACCCGTGATTCTTCTACAAATGCTGGGCTTTTCCTAGAACATATAAGCACGCAGGGAGGTTCAGGCAAGAATCTGGAATGCCCCAGACATCTAAAGCCAAGGGCACATGGGAGCCTCATCAGCCGAGAGGAAAGCGCCCCAGTGCAGACCGTTAAGTCTCCTGTAAGGCTGCATCAAAGGGAAGCGTCACCCAGAGGCAGAGGGAAGGGCGCAGCCACCTTTGGGACTTACACATCCCCTAGGGACTCTTCAAAACACAGATTCCTGAACCCCAGCCCCCGATCTCTAAATTCTTGGGTGTGGACTGCAGTCCAAGAAGGTGAATTTTTAATAATTCAGGGTAAGGACTGCAGTTCTCTCTGCCCCGTGTGGGGAGAGAGAACACCAGCTTCCATCCTGAGGGACCTCCCCCTGCGCAAGGCAGCAGGCCTGTGGGGGAGGGAGAGCAGGCAGCTCAGAGCCCTGGGGAGCTAGAGGGTCCCCGCAGCCTGTCCGCAGGGGCCTGTGATGGAATCTCAGAGATAAAATATGAAGCCTCTCTGGGCGCTCTTTCCCCGACATGCTCAGAAGGTAAGAGGGAAAAGCATGGTGTAGTTTCTCATTAACGTTCTTCTAGTGATTAGAATCCATTCCACACGGTAAACAATTGTGAGAACACATTATTTTCCCTCTGGGACTCCATAAAACTAAATTTTGAATGAAAAAAAAAATGCAGCTTACAAACAAGCAGTTCTCCTGAAATGGGCCCCAGGCAGAAAAGGCCTGTGCTGCCAGCCAAGGAGGGTGCTCTCCTGAGCCCCCACGCACACCCTCCTGCAGACCCTGACACAGCACATCTGACCCGAGGTCCAGCCTGATGGGGCTGCAGTGACTGCTGACGGCTGCCCTGCGACAGTCCCACTTTGAATGGGTGCAGCTGGGGGACAGGCGTATGACGACATGCAGAGGCAATCCACCAGGAGTCCACAGCAGACGTCAACCATAGCTTTATTAAGGCTTGCCAGCAGGGTCTTAGTCATTCGCTGCGCAGACCCCCGCCAGGGCCCCCTGGGGCGACACTGAAGGCAGAGGCTCTCTCTCGGACCCGGAGCCGCAGTCCACCGTGCTCCACACACACACCCTACAGACTCGGGGTGCAGGGTTATGCGGGTAACTTGGGGGCCCTCAGCAGGGTGGGGCTGGCTCTGGCAGGCCTGGGGTGGGGTGGCAAGGAGGGACAGGAGGGCAGGGACATCTCCCCCACCCCTCCCGGCCCAAACTATGGCTTTGTGATCCTGTTGCCACTAGAGCCGGAGTGGAGTGCCCCTCCCTCACCCTCACTCCCGGCTGTGCTGCACTGTGGGAGGCAATAAAGGCAAAGCCCTTGGGAAAGAAGAGGCCCCTCCGTGGCTGGGACCTGGCCAGAACTCAGGGGGCTAGGACCCCCACTTCTGCTCCTCCCAACAACGGGTCTCCTCGGGTCCAGGCCCAGTCCCTCAGAGGTGGACCCGCAGCACGTCCTGGCTGGTGAACGGCTGCTGGCAGGCTGCGCACGCCACGGGCAGGCAGTGCTGCTTCTCACCCAGGCAGGGCCGGCAGAGGAGGTGGCCACAGGGAAGCTGGTACACGGGCTCCTTTCGGAAGTAGGAAGAAAAGACTCGTTTGCAGGAGGCACACTCGGGGCCCAGGATGCTCCCAGGCTGCTCTGGTAAATCAGGGAGGAAAGCGAAGAGGCCCGAGTTAGGGAAAGCTGCCCCTGTCCAGGCTCCATCCTGGAGGCAGGGCTCACGCCTGGAGTGGGACAGGAGCTGCCCCACCCTCCACCCTGCCTCAGCCAGCTGCGTCCCTCCCCAGGCCACCTCTGGTCCAGCTGGGAGCAGAGGTACCAGGGAGCCTGGAAACCTGAAAAGCCTCCTCTCCATCATCAAATCTCAGTGCTCCCATGACTGCTCAGAAACAGCTGGTTTCTGAAGGCAGATGGAGAGCACTGGGCCCTTCCTCCCAGTCTCTCAACAAGAGGTACTTTCCTCTGGGACAGGCTCCCAAGGCCAGAGCAAGGCACAGGCTCACCCTGGTGACCCTGATAAATTATAAGAAAGGTGCAATGTGACAAGAAAAGGAAGAGCGGAAAATGGCCTGGCGTATCAGGGTGGGGCGGGCCAAGGGTATAGGGTGGTCACTGGGGGCAGGGCTGAGGCCTGGCTGAGCAGACCTGCAGCAGAGCCTGGGCCTGCTTCTCTTTAGCCCTGCGGCCCGGCAGCTCCCCTCCCCAGCTGTCAATCCCCTTCCTGGGCTGCCAGCTCCCTCTCCGCCCACACTTCCCAAAGGGCCTCCTGAATGAGGGCCATGGTGGGCAGGTCCAGCCCCCTCCCAAGCTGCACCTGCTCTTCCTTCTCTGGGGGCCCTTGCCTAATGAGGCTGCTTTTCCTCTTCCAATCTGCACCCCTCTGGAGAGGGCAAGGACGGCCTCCTGGGGAAGAGCCGTTAAGAATGAAAGGGAGCCAGCCATGCAAAGAGCGAAAGGGGCAGCAAGCACAAAGAATGGCTGGCCCATTAAAGAAGAAAGATGCAGAGGTGTGACATGTGACAGTGTGGCTCCAGACGAGATGGCAGAGGAGGGAGGGCAGGGCTGGAGCTGCAGGACCTCACAGGCAACAGGAGTTTCGCTTTTATTCCAAATGCAATGGGATGCAACGGGGCAATTCCAAGAAGTGGAGGACCATGACCTAGCTTACAGTGTAAGGTCTCTGGCTCCTGTGAGGATGAGGGCCACGGTAAGGAAAGCGTGGCCGTTAGGGAACAGCAGGGGCTGCTCCAGGAGTCTGGGGAGCGCAGACGGAAGGGCAGTGGAGCGGAGGACCTCTCTGAGGTCTGTGCTGGCAGAGTAGGAACAAGATGCGATGACGAACAGAACGTTAATGTGAGGACACTGGAGGAAAACTAAGGATGACCTGCCTGCTAGAGGCCGGAATGAACAGAAGAAGATGCTGCTCTCACCCTCAGTGGTGTGATGGGGGTGGGGGGTGGGGCTGGGCCTCTGCACCAGTTCTGAGTTAGAGAGTTCACTCTGGATACCCATGAGCTTTCCACACGGAGGTGCCGGGCAGCTGTCAGGGAGGTGGGGGTCTGAGTTCCAAGAAGTGGGAGCTACGGGTAGACACGGGCAGTCACTGGCCAAGTGAACTCTCATTTTGGGTGACAACGGGAACAGAGAGAAGAGGGTCCAGGACCATAGTATGAGAGAGAAGAGGTGGCAAAGGCAATTGCTGAGGGACCACTGAAAATGGGGAGAAAAAGAGTGTAACACCTGGAAGGCCAAGAGAGAAGGTGTTTCAGGAAGGAGGGGCTGGTCAGTCACATCAGAGCCCCCATGACCACCGTATTTATGGTCATGGAAATCGCTGGTCACTTAGACAAGTTCTTGGGAATGGCCAGGACAGAGACAATCAGAGACAAAGAGGTGGGGACGGAGAAGAAGAGATGGCCTGTGCCCCAGACCAGAGGGGGGCCCGGTTCTGCAGAGGCGGGAGAAGCAGTGTGTGCCTTATCGTTAGCTCTGACAGGCTCCATCCTGGCGAGGATGCCCCAGCTTTCCAGTCGGGTCCTCTCCCTTTGCATCCCAGTCGCTTCCATCATCCAGCGTGCTCCCAAGTTCATTTTAGGAAAACACTGGCTCAGTAAGCTACCACTGTTCTTCTCTAAGCCTAAGAAAATGTTAACAGGAAGAGATGAAGATGACATACTCAACCTAAACTTCACACGTACATAAAGGGCCCCAGATGTCAGATGGGAGACAGACTAGATGAGAAAAATAAACTACATAGGAAAAACAAAAGTCCTCAGGACGGAACAATTAACATTAGATCTTATCCAAAAAAAACAAAAACCCAAAAACCCACAGTAGGGGAACCAAGCCCTAAGTCTACAGAATTACTAAATAAAGCCTTTCTTCTGAAGACAGACTTCACAGGCAGCCCCTCTGCTCCCCCTGAAAAAGGAGAGAGACTGGTTCCCCCCCGGGCCTGGGTGTTGGAGCCAAGCAGCTGGGCATAAAGGTCTGGAGAGCCCCAGAGGGTGGCCCAGCGTCCCACTCAAGGGCTCCAAGGAGGTGGGCGGGACCCACTTTACCTGACCCTGTGACTGCCTGCCAGGAAGCGCTGGTCTCTCTTATGCCCTCGTGCTGGAGCTGTCCCCTGGTCAGTCGTGCTGTGAAGGAGGGCAAGGAGCCAAGGGTTGATGTCAAGGCAATTTCCAAGCTTTGTGACAGTTTCTGCTCATGGGACACCGGACCTGTCAAGAGATGCATGGACAATATCCAGAGAGAAGTTTGACAAAAGAAAAGACCACAAAGGCCAAAGAAGAATGCAAAAACAGCACTTCCAACTTTAAATAAACACAAATGTAAAGAAAGTCCTCATCAATATCTACTAGTGTGGACTGTGATAACCAGATACCAGAGTTAAAGGCTGGGGACCCTGGCAGTTGCTACCCATTCCACGCCGCTTTCTGGGCTCTGAGCTAGCTCTCCTCCTCCTGGGAACTGCTGGGCACGCAGGGGCCACCTTGTGGCTCACCTGAGGAACTGCATCCTACTTTCTAAAGGCTTCCCTGCAGGCCAAGGAAATGCCTGCACAGGCAACATCTAGCCCTGGGCCTGCTCCCTGCCCCCATTCCCTCCCCAGCAGCCTTAGACGGATCTTTCCCATCTCTTCCCTCCTGGAGACCCCACCACTGGGCAGGGCCCATGGCCTACACTCTCTAGGCATTGGTGTCCTCTCCTGTTGGGTAAAGCAAAGCAGTTATTACTGAGTGGAACAAGCACTCTCCCCACTTCACTTTGGAGGGTCCACAGAAAGCCAAACAATGGGCTCAGGCTGAAGGCAATGGGGGAGGGAGACAGCTGCCCAAGGAAGGACCCAGAGACTGGCCTGGTTCACAAAAATGCCTATGGTGGGGGGTGGGGGGTTTTCTACGGTCTATAGGGCACAGGACATCAGCTTGGACCCTTGAAGGACCCCTGCTCAGCATGCTCCTGTGTCACCAACATACCTATCAAGGCCAACACCAACAAAAACCTCTCCAGACATCCAGGTCTAAACTACCTTTCTCCTGGTCTCACCCATCATACCTCAGATGCTTCCAGGAGTCTCTGGGGGTCATGTTAACTATAATTTACACTCAAAACCTGAGAAGGCACAGATGTAACCTTTTTTAAAAAAAACATATTTATTTTTAGCCCTGGCTGGTGTGGCTCAGTGGTTGAGTGCCGGCCTGCAAACCAAAGGGTCACCAGTTTGATTCCCAGTCAGGGCACATGCCTCGGTTGCTGGCCAGGTCCCCAGTGGGGGGTGCACGAAGGGCAATCACACATTAATGTTTCTCTTCCTCTCTTTCTTCCTCCCTTCCCCTCTCTCTAAAAATAAAATCTTTAAAAAAATTGTTTTAGCTTTAAGTTACACAGTTAATAGGCTGAGTGATAAACGCATGTAGAAAGCTGTGGTTCCGGGAACTGGAATGCATCACCAGACCTACCCTGACTCCAGGAGGCCGGCAAGCAATCCAACCTCTGTGCTCCGGGAGGACTGCAAGTGATCAAGATGGTCTCTGAGCCACTGTTCTCCAGGGAGAGAACTACCGCTGGTCAGCAGATGAAGGGATGCTAGAAAAATCACTGGACTGCAACTTTTATCCGATCAACCTTTCTCCTTGAATTCCAAACCCCTTACCTACTTTTTTTCTGAATTCCAAACTCCTTACTACTCTCTTCATTCCCTTATAAAAGGGGATGGCTTAAGACATGTGAAGACAAGTCTTTAGGGTTTAGGACATATAACCCACTGTCTTCTCAGATCACTGACCATCTGAATAAAGCACCATAACGATGCAATCCTTGTCTCTACTTACTGGTTCTGGCAGTAATGGGCAACACGAACACTGACTTTTCCAGTTTCAAAGAGCTAGCTCCAAAAGCAGCAGGCACTGACAATCATAAGGAGTAATACCAAAAATATAAAGGATGCTAAGACTATTCAATTGTTTCCAAGTTTAGAAAAAGATACTTTCTAATTCGTCTTATCAAGCACATAAACCACCCATACCAAACCTGACCATATACAGTGGGTGCACACACTCACACTCCAGTTTAATCCCACTGCTGAGTGTAGAAGCCCTACACAAAACACCAGCGAACAGAATCACGAAGCCCGTTACGAGAAGCACGACCAAATGGAGTTTACTCCAGGAATGTCATAATGGTTCAACATGAAGAAGTCTATTCATGCACTTCCTCACATTAAAAGACCCAAGGATGAAATAAAATAAAATAAAATAAAAAAAGACCCAAGGATGAAAAGTCATTTCTGTTGACACTGAGAAGGAATTGGACAAAATTCAACCTCCGATCTTACATAAACACAGTCAGTAAAACAGGAAGAAATGGTGCCGAGGCATCTGACACGGGTCCCGATGAACCCCACCTCCTGATACTTGTGCCCCCGAGTGCCCCTCCCCTTGAGAGTGGGCGGGACTTCAGTGATTTGCTTCCCACAGAACAGAGCAAAGGGGATGGGATGCCATGTCCACGATCAGAGGACACAAAGCCGACTTCCGCCTTCTCTGCCCACTCTTGTGCACACAGCTTACCATGCTGTGTGATGCCTTTGAGAGGCCCACACAGCAAACTGAGTCCAGACTCTGGCCACCAACCAACAAGAAGTGAAGCCTTCAGTTCAACAATTCAGCAAGAAACTCAATCTTGCAACAACCACATGAGTGAGCTTGGAAGTGAATCCTTCCCCAGTCAAGCACTGAGATGACCACAGCCCCTCAGAAGGGCCTGAAGCAGATGATCCATCCAAGCAACTTGATTCCTGACTAGAGAAGCTATGAGGTAATGAACACGTGGTGCCTTAAGCCAGTAAGTTTGGGGGTAACTTAAGCTGGCAAAGCATGAAACAAAGGGCGAAAGTCAGGCACGGACACGGGGCAGTGGGTTACCTGCTGAGCAGTCCATGTGTGTCAGACCGAGCTCACTGGCAGCTTTCAGTTTCTTAGGGGTGTGCTCTGAGGTAGTGGGAGAGACTGGGAGGGTTGTAGAAAAACAGGACGCATTTACACCAATGCTACTGTCGGGGGCGTGTTCAGCCCGCTCCATCTTCCTTTTCCGGGATGGCAGAGCAATGGAAGAAGGGGTCACTGCCAACGCAGTCTGTGCTCTCCCAAGCAGGTGGCAGCCAGGGATGGAGTGCTGGAGCAGGAAATGGTCGATCCGGGCCTTCAGGGAGGGATGAGGCAGGGGCTGGGAGTGTGGAGTAAAGGCTACCCCTGTGAAGGGGTCACTGGGCACCCGGCCCCATGTGGCTTCACTGCGGTTACACTTCTCCAACGTGCTCTGGTCAATGACCTTGCCGGAGGGCAGCAGCATGGGGCAAGGCATGATCTCTAGGGTGATGGGATCCAGGAACTCCTCAGGCACATCTGGAATTACCTCAGCCAGCTCTTGCAGGCTGGAGGTAGCCTGCTGGTCCTCAGGCTGGGTCCCAGGGTCACAGTCACTCTCCATGGGCAGGGTTGGAGCTTGCAGAGCCAAGTCCTGAGGGAGGCTCTCTGAGGCAACCAGCAAGACACTGTCTATCACCTCCTGAGAGCAGGTTTTGGCTGGCTGACCCCACACTTCCAACCGCTTGATGCAAGGGATACCACTGCCTGTCACGTGGGTGATACAGATCTTGAGATGGGCCACGTGGTTAAGGGAAAGAGTCCCTTTGTTCCAGAGCTCCTGGGCCGCCACAGCAGGAGAGGGGAGTGTAGCTTCCACAGAGGCAAATGGTGGCCTGGCCTTGAAGCCCCTGTGGCTAAACACCACTTGGCTCTGGTTTTTCAACAAGACTTTGCCCACCAAGGTGAACGCCTCCTTGTCGGGGACGGAAGGCTCGGCTGGCCCCAGGGCCCAGCACCCTGGGGTGTTCCAAGACACTCTGCTGGACAAGGCAGATGTGTGTACTTCCAGGCCGGTGACATTCTGGCCTCCCCGAGCTGTGAGGTCGATGTTAACCCTACAGATTTCCACACTGAAGGGGAAGGAAACTGTCACGTGGACTGGCGGCTTAATAAAATACTCTGTCCTAAAACCTCGACTCCTCTTCGTGAGATCGTCAGAGATGAGATTCTCTACTTCATAGCCATCGGCCGATATCTAGATTGGATGACAAATGTAAGATAAATTGATATTATGACATCCAAATGAAGAAAACTAGGTCTCCAGAATTTGCCCCTTCTAAGACAATTCTTTAAAGAAAACCTGAAGTTCCTCATTTAAAGTTTCCTCTAGTGCCTCAAATTCTTCTGTTGGTTTTTTTTTGCAGGCACCCGAGATCAGGTGAGAGCTGAGGGCAACGGCGGCCCCGCGTACTGCCCGTTCTTTACAAATATGAGCAACAAAACTCTGCCCAACACATCTCTGTGACAAGGGGGCAGACATACTGGTGGTTTTTCATTTCAGAAGATGAAAACAAGCAAAATGAAGATGTTCATTAAAGTTCTCAACTTTGTATTTGGACTAAGCATCAGAACAAGTTCCCTGGGAAGGCACAACAAGCTTCTTGTCAATCTATGAATGATGCAACTTGGTTTTTAAATAAATGTGTGCAGAGGAACAAGGCTCACAAGAAAATGACGGGAAATTTAAAAGTGAATGTGCTAGAAGATGGGACTATAAATAACGTCTTCCCCTTTTAATATTTCTAACACTTGTTAAAACCAATGGAAATTTTAAGATATCTTTGAAGGAGTCAGTCTAACAATCTGGGTCCCTGAAACAGTATGCTGAGTGCAGAAGCTCCAGATGAGGGGAGGGGTCTAATTCTCCCCTCAGAGCTTTCTTATTCCCTGCTGAGCTGTAGAGAGATACCCTCCTTGCACAAAAGGGGAGGCAGCTTAATTCACACAAAGAAGAAGGAATACAAATTACAAATATAAGCCATTGTCCCTAGCATATGAAATGACAAGAACTAGGGGCAGAAAGAGTATTTCTACCTTCACTATGACTTTGAGTGAAACTAAAACTTATCATCAGCGGGAAAAGCTCACTGAAGACGACCTTCTACAGCACGAGCCACAGCCCACCCTGTGGTGGAGCCGTCTGGCCCTGGAGGTGCAGCCTGACCCATGCTTGCCTAAGTAGCGTCTGGTGGGATCTAAAGCAACCAGGGTGAAAGCACACTGAACCCGAATGAAGTTCGCTATACAGGGCAGGAAGTGGGGAAACCCATGAAAAACAGCTCCGGTGCGTTCATGTATGTGTGTCTGCTTGTTTTGTTTACCTTGTTGCAGTAAATTCTTGGTCTGAACTGTGGGAGGCAAAGGTTTATTACCATCTTTGTGGCAGCAAGGATAGCTTCCAAGCATCAGAAACAGCCTTAAAAAAAATAAAACTTGGTATTAGACAAGTCAAAATTCCATTTTAGACTTTTAGGAGTTGACTTCTAAGAGAAGAGACTCAAAGAGGTTAACAACAAAAACTCTCCATCCTGGCCAGTGTGGCTCGGTTGGCTGGAGTGTCATCCTATAAACCGAAGGGTCTCGGGTTCGAGTCCCAGTCAGGGCGCTTGCCTAGGTTGCGGGTTCAGTCCCTGGTTGGGGCACATATGAGAGGCAACCGATCAATGTTTCTCTCTCAAATGGGCGTTCCTCTCCCTCTTTCTCCCTTCCCCACTCCTAAAATCCAAAGGCACACCCTCAAGTGAGGATTTAAAAAAAAAAACTTTCATACATGCACTCTCAGGTCCTATACTCACTCTCTTTAGCTTACTTGTAACGCTGGGAGAAAAATCAGTCACTGTGAAACTGCGGAGGAGACTTCTGTTGCAGGCTGGGCAGGACGGCAGCTATTCTAAAGACCCAGGGCCAGCAAGGGGTCAGCTCTGTGGGGGGCTCCCCACTGGAAAGGGAGGTCCAACGGTGGCTGAGCTCAGAGAAGGAACAGGCCTGCCTTACCCAGAGGGTTCAGAACGGGCAGGGTCATCACAGAAAATAATCATGATGGTACTAAGCATCTTTGTTATTTAATACTTGTCAGTGCAATTACATTTTCTTATTAAAACAAAAACAAGGAAAGTCAGAAACATTACTGAGAAATAGAAAATCTTAGGGTTGGAAAGCACCTTTGAAAGGACATCTAATCCAAACAGTCACTTTAGTGACAACTGTCCAGGGCGGGGAGGAATAGGTGAAGGCGGTCAAACGATACAGACTTCCAGTCGTAAGAGAAATGAGCTCTAAAGATATAATGTGCAGTATGGTGACTACAGTTAATGACACTGAACTATACGTTTGAAAACTGCTGAGAGAGATGATCTTAAAAGTTCTCATCACCAGAAAAAACTGCACGAAGTAATGGATGTTACTAATTTATCACAGTATCATTTTGCAGTACACGAGTATACACAAATCAAACCATCATGTTGTACATGTTAAACTTTTACAGTATTACATGTCATTGCAGCGCAGTAAAGTTGGGAGAAAAATGACCAGTGTCTCATAGCCTCTGGCACTCCCCGTGGAGACGCAGGGCAGCCACTAGCAACGCCCCCTGCAGTGCAAGCCTGTCCAGTGGATCTGGACTCTTTGGATGAGGCCCACCAGTCATTCCATGCTTTTCCATCTGGCCCACCAGACTATTAAAAGCTTCCGTTAGCCCGACAGGGACAGGGCCACCCTCTGAGGTCTATGTTGTCACAACCCGTCGGTGCCACTGGCAGAGGCCGGGCACGCTGGGTGTCCTGTAACACCTTGGTGAGCAGTTTCTGCACCATGAGATCTGCCATGGGGCCTTGAAATATTTATGATCTCAGCCCAGCCCCAAACGCTGTTTTATCCGTAAACACAGAGTAAATTTAACATGGTTTTAATGTATGCTAAATTCCCCAGGAAAGGAAGAGAGAGTGTACTTTGTTTTGTTCAGATCTTTACCAAGAGGTGTTTACCATTTCTGAAAACAGCATCACCGAGGGTAGCGCCAATACACTTGACAGTCTGCATCTGCCTATGTTCCCGGCGATTCTGCATGTCGGTAAAAGCTCTGACTACTTTATACCTCCCAGTATGGTCATACCCAAACATTTACAGGTAAAAATAAATTTTACTATCACAATTTAAAACATCTCCTGTATATTACCACCTATTCTGGCATCTGTGTGTGTGTTGGCGTGCATGTGTTTATGCGTACCTAAACAGTCAGGCTGCGGCAAAAGTGGGTTTACAGTTGTAACACAGTAACTAATAACTGCACTACGAGAACAAACTCTGCGTTCTGCACACTCACAGCTGTAAACCCACTCTGGCCCCATGCTGCGTGTGTGCGTGCACCGCTCCAGGGAGCTCGCCCTTCCCCCTCTGCCTTGATGGGCAGGACTTTGGTAAGAAAACAGAGATACAAACCTTGTTATAATGTCAACATGCTGAGAGGTGGTTAATATTAGTAAGATCAAGGACCGCTAGTGTACCATCATCTCTGTCTCCACAGTCCACATTTTAGGCCTTTTTTCTCAGCGGAAAAAAGCAAACCCTGGCAGAGGGAGCAATGCCAGTTCCTTGAAGTGCTGATCTGATTTCCTAGGGGCAGGCACTGATTTTACCAACATTTACTTTCTTCCAATCTCCTTGCTATTTTCTTGGACATTTCCCACCATGGTCTTTTAGTGTATTCTACATGTCATGAAATTAATTTCTCTGAGAATCTCAATGCCAGGACCAAGAAAGCCTGGCAGGGTCTTCTCACAGACACGACGAAGAGCTTGCCTGTGAGTATAATGAAGTCAGATGGAAAAGTCTCTAAGACTTTCTGAGCACCCAACTCAACGGTGAATGAGGTGGAGGGTCCCAGCTGTGACTGCCCTCACTCAGGACAGCTGCCCTCGGCCTTTAACCCCTGGCTCAGACACCTGCCTCTGTGGCTGGACCTGAGAGATGGCCAGGACGAGTGGGGCAAGGCTGAACAAAGGCCTTTCAAACTTTTGTTCTTTCTTAACTTTTAAAATTCCACCTCAGATACCTGAAAGAATCTGACTGCCCCACTAATCAACATGATAATTTAAAAGGTATTATCCACACTGTGTCTCAGCAAGCAAAGGGCTCACTCTTCTCTGTGAGCCGACAGACAAGGACTCTCCAGTAGTTAAAAAAAAAAAACAACAAAAAAAAACCATACCATTGGCCAGGAAGGCACATACACAAAATGACTTGGAGGAGACTACCAGGGATTTTATTCTATTTAAATCTTACCAACTGGTCGGCCCTAAAGTGGGCACTAATATCCTACTTTGCAGATAAAGAAACCGAGGCTCCAAGAGAGGTTAAGATGGGACTCACATTCCAAACCTTCCCAACCACCCTGGTGACTGTTTACTTGGCCACCATTTACCTTGAAGGATTTACCAGGAAGTTATACGAATACCTTACAACTTCTTTTCCTCCCTGTTACTTAGGTCAAGGTTTGGTATCATGCATTTCCTAAAAACCAAGTCTTCCGAACTTAAAATGCATGTGGCTGTGCTCTACCATGCAGACATCTGGAAGCCCTGACTGCCCTTTCCAGTATGTATTGGATCAAACCTCAAATTGTTTTTTTAGGAAAATCTTTAGGTAAGCTAGCCTTCTAGCATCTCACCTTATCACAGGTTAATTCCATCAGTCAGCTATTAAAGCATATGAACCTTTACCTGACAGAAACAGCCTACTTGCTCTTCACAGCACTTACCAAAACTGAATTTGGGCAAATTGAAGGAGAGTGTTCAGTCCATCCACGCTAATTGTTTTTAGTGCCCGCCCATGTGGCACCTCATGCCTCCTTGCCCGGCGTCCCTGGTGGCCGCTGTGTTCATATCCCCCACCACCACGTGCCAAACTTCTCAGCAGTATGGATCCTCAGCTGGAGCAAAAATAAATGTAACACGTTGATAAAATTCAGTGACCATTCTCAGATTTACAGGACACCAGAGCGACACCCCAGCTGAGCAGCATGATTTTAGTCTCTAAAGCAAGTTACTCCAGAGAGCTGCCCCTCAGAGTAGTGCGCTGAACCCCCCCACATGCTTACTCCCGCCACCGCCATCCCACGCCCCTCGATCCTCTGCAAACACGCTTCGCCAAACTGTTCACTCGTTCTGGGTGGCCCGTCATCAGTAAGGGATTTAGTAAGAAACATCTCTATAAAAGCGGGTGTTTTTATCAGCTTATCAAAATGATGACTCTCTCCTCAGCACAGTCTCTTCTTCTGCAGATCCGTGAGAAAACTCTCTTTGGTCTCAGTACTGAAAACAGCTGTTTCTTCCAATCAACTCAGCACCTTACCGTATGGATATGAATGATATAACTGATCATATCATTTCTTTACTTAGGCTGCTAAAAGCTCAGGATAAAATCTGTGGTCCATCCCTCAAATTTATCTTTACCTAAACTGTTCAATACTTTTTATGTCAGAGTGTACATTGTGAAAGTTATCTTAAAATAATTTTGGAACAGGAGGTATGGGGTATAAATAATAAATCATTTTCCTTTTGTCAGACATTTAGGTTGCTTGAGATTTTATACTATTATAATATTAAGATAAAAATTTTAAGATTTTTGTCTTAGTACAATTTTGACTTTTTTTTTTCTTAAGGGGTCCTACATGTTTCTTGTTAAGCTTGCTCTTTAGGAATAGGATCCTTTTATCCCATTAATTTTTCTAAAGTTATTCCTATATACAGGAAAGCTTTTCACTTTGGTATTTTATTATGTGTTCCGTTGTCTCACTGAACTAATTGATTTTAACAGATCTTCAATTGCTTTTTTTGGAGGATCCCACAATCTCAGTCATAAATGAGAACCCCTTTCTTAAAACTGTGACTCTGATTTGTCTCTCCTCTTATTGCACAGCCAGAACTTCCAGAATTCTATGAAGTTGCTTTGCTTGTTTTGTTCTCATTAGAAGATGCTTCTAGTGCTTCATCTTTGAACATAATGTTGACTGTTAGATTGAAATACTCTTTTTATGTTAACAAAGCATTCTAATTTTCATGGTTTCTTAGGAAGAAATTGCTTTGTATTCTGCTTTTATCTGTATGTTGACTTTTATTATTTTTCTTATCTAACAGACTAATGAGATATAATACATTTTTCTAATTTTAAACCTTACTTTTATTCCTAGGATAAGATTTTATTTTTAAATGTCTTTATTTTTTAAGGAACAAACATTTATTTCTCACAGTTCTGGAGGCAGAGAAGTCCAAGATTTAGTGTCTGGTGAGGACCCACTTCCTGGTTCATAACAGGCTCTTTCTGCTGTGTCCTCACATGGCGAAAGGGCTTTTTTTTTTTTTTAAGATTTTATTTATTTATTTATTTTTTAGAGAGGGAAGAGAGGGAGAAAGAGAGAGAGAGAAACATCAATGTGCGGTTGTTGGAGGTCATGGCCTGTAACCCATGCATGTACCCTGACTGGGAATCGAACCTGCAACACTTTGGTTCGTTCGCAGCCTGCGCTCAATCCACTGAGCTACACCAGCCAGGGCTGCGAAAGGGCTTAAATGTTTTTCCAATTGTACTAAATCTGACTTCTCATATTTAATTTTAGGTGAGATATTAGTGCACATTTGCACATTTACATGCCCTGTGCTAGACACAGGAGTATAGAGATAAAAATGAAATGGTCAGGTGGTTAAACTATTCTATAGGTACCATAATGATGTCTACATTGACATTACGTATTTGTCAAGGCCCACAGAACCATGGACTTCAGGTAATAACAATGCATCAATACTAGCCTCTCAACTGTGACAAATGTACCCTGGTAATGTAAGGTGTTAGTAAGAGCAGAAACTGTGGGCAAGGGAGAAGAGGAAGATGGGACCACTCTGCTCAATTTTTCTGTAAACCTAAAGCCACTCTAAGAAAACACTATAATAATAGTACTAATAACAAAAAAAATGACTGGGGGAAAAGGAAAACAAACTAGGATTGGAGATCAAACTTAAACAGTGACTACGCCATTATAGAACGAGTGTGGCAAATAGTTTTAAAAATATCTCACAAATGACGACACATTTTCTTTGGGAAACAGTCACACCCAAACACTGCAGGAGTCTCTAGGGCTGGATGCCAACTAGGTCTTTGTACACTCTTACTGCTCTTCTGGTGCCAACACCCCTGGAACTTTAAAGGTTAAGTCCTCCTACCTATGCTTCATCCAGGGTGAAGAAAAAAAAGCTCACCATGTGAAAATGCAAACACCTTGCCCAGGAAGGCCGCCTCTCCAGTCCAGCCTAGGAAATGGCCAAGTGCTACCCAAACTCTTGCAAACACTGTCCAATAAATACTTACAGATCACAGCCTCCTTCTCCAAATTTGGGGCCTACATACAAGAAAGACTAGATCTGACTATAAATTGGGGACCGCAGATCATGACTAAAGTGCCCTGCAGTTCAGAGAAGTAGCTCGGAGATGGATAATAAAGGCATTATAAGATAGCAAGATGACAGAGTTTGTAAGTAGATATGTCAATTTTCATTAGAGATTTTTTCTCTTTAGTACAAAATATTACAGATAAAAGTAAAGATTATAATATAGTAGATACTCTTATACCCACCACCTAGATTTAGCAAATGTTAACATTTTAAAATGTTTGCTTCTCATTTCAGTGTTAAGAACAAAATTTATGACATAAATAAAAACCAACACCAATTCTATTTCTTCTCCCTTTTTACCAAGAAGCAGTATCTGAAGTGTCTCTCATTCAAGTCAGTATAGGGCTGTGTGTATCCAGACAATGTAGAGTACTTTTATGTATTTTTAATGTACCTTAATGATACTATACCATAGTTTTATACCCAGCTTTTCTATTAAGCATTATTAAGTTTTCTATGTTGAAATGTGTACATCTAGTTTATTCATTTTAACTTCTTCATGGTCCGTTCTCAAGTCTTTAGGTATCACAGACTTCCCTGTAATGGTGATTATGGAATATAAAGGTTTCTAACAGAGCTTTCTGCAGATGGCATTCAGAGTGGGTAAGGATGGCTTAAATCAATGTTTTTTAATTTGTGGTTTTGAAATCAAGTTATGGGTTGAATAACTGAAAGAGAATACAAAATATCAAACTGCACATAGCATCATGACATGACTGTTCTGTTTCCATTTCATACAAATACATAAACGTCTATACTAGATCCAATATCAAATGTATTTCTTACTGTGGCTCTTGATGAAAAAATTAGAAAAGCGCTGGCCAAAAGTAAACCCAGAAGTCAGGGAAGAATTCACAGGAGTAACATTTGAATGGGGACAACTAGGACACATGCCTGACCTCATGGGCAATTGTGAAGAGTGACAGATTATTATATATTAACAGTACAATAGACGATATATGTTTGAGCACAGGTGTCAAGACCCAAGAAAGAACAGGAAGAAAAGGGGAAGGTTACTAGGGAGAGGGACAGTAAGAGTCAAGGCAGAGAGGTGGGACAAGGGGAAGAAGGTTCAGGAAATGCAAATATGCCACCTTGCTGGAAGGGGAGAGGGGAGGTAGGGCTGGAAAGGCAGGTGGAACCAGGTGTGAAGGACCTTGAAAGTTATGCCATGGGGCTTTAGGGTACTGTACTGGGTGGGCTGAGGGAGTGATTTCCAAACCACAGATCAAGAATCATGAACTCCAGCTCTGACTGGTGCCGCTCAGCAGACTGAGTACTGGCCTGTAAACCAAAGGGTCACCAGTTCAATTCCCAGTCAGGGCACATGCCTGGGCTGCAGGCCAGGTCGGGCTCCCACTAGGGGGCATGGGAGAGGCAACCACACATTGATGTTTCTCTCCCTTTGTCCTTCCCTTGCCCTCTCTCTAAAAAGAAATAAAATATTTTTTAAAGAGCCATGCACTCCAATTACTGAGCCACAATCAGTATTTAAAAAAATTAAAAACAGAAAATGTCAGAGCGCAGCACACATGAGAACAAACAGTGCTTTGTGAAACTCCTGTCCCAGATACACATATAGGTATCTGAACCTTTTTTCCTCCCTTCCTGGGTTTTGATGTAAAAGGTCTTTCTTACTAAGGATTGTAGTAAAAAAAAAAAATAATTGAAAACTGCTGATCAGAGGGAAGTCGTAGAAGGCTTATAACCAGGAAAAGAAATGACACTAATAAAGAGTCTGCCATTAACCTCCTAGATAACAGTAATTCTGAACCACTTAAGAGGCAATTCGCCCTTCAAGGGGTTTCCCTTTCCTCTAGCTGATGTGTTCCTACCATCTCTTTTCTGCACTACAGGAGGTGTTGTCTTGCAAATGGCTTCCTGAAGACATCAAATGAGTATCCAAGTACAAACTACTTAGAAATCAACTAGCAGTCTGTTTTTCCCGTTTTCTTCTTTCATTTTTTTTAAGATGAGAAAGGAAAAAAACAGACTATGTATGACATATTACTGAGTATCTCACAAGGATTTCAAAGCTACCTTACAAAAAATTTATTTTTCAAAATTTTAATGAACTTTTTATGAGCATTGTAGGTTCGTGTGCAGTTGTAAGAAACAATAAAGATTCTATGTATCCTTAACCAGTTTCCCTCAATGTTAACACCTTGAATAGCTATAGTATAACGTCACAACCAGGAATGGACCAACTTCATAAGTTTTACACACACTCATTTGTGTGCCTATGTGTTTAGGTTTTTGCAATTATATTCTATGCATAGATTTGTGTAATCACTACCACAGTCAAGATACAACACAGTTCTCTCACAAGGATGCCCTGTACTGCACTTTAAGAAGCCTTCTATTTTAGGGTCGCTGGTTCGACTCCCAGTTAGGGCACATGCCTGGGTTGCAGGCCAGGTTCCCTGGTGCGGGGCACATGAGAGGCAACCACACATTGATGCTTCTCTCCCTCTTTCTCCCTCCCTGCCCCTCTGTCTAAAAATAAATTTTAAAAATCTCTTAAAAAAAGCCTTCTATTTTATAAGTCCAAATACTCTATTACCACACAAGTCTCGAAGCTGTAAGTCCCTCAGGTGAAGATTCCAGTTAATTCCACTACCCACACTATAAGAAACAAGCTTAAGTGACACCTTTACCCTTGGTGTATCTATCACTTAAATGATAGGCATGACTATGTAAAAAAATGCAAAAGTATATATAAAAAGAACACAAAATAGAAGAATTGTAATCACACATTTGTTAAAAACCTGTATTAGGAATATGTCCACGTGAAGAGTTTGGAAGGTAATGGTGGACAAGTAGAAATTTAAAATATGCAATGTATTTTAACTATGCAATGTATAGTAGTAGGATAAGTGTTTTTTTCTTTTCATGTTTCAAGTGGACATAAGTAGTTAAACAGCTGGATGGGTTCCTGAGGTCCAAGGCTGATGTCAGGAGGAATGAGGCTCTGGATGCACGCCAGCTGTATTCCTTGCAGCTGACCACCCCTACAGAACTGGATGTCCAGACAGAGAGGGATCTTTCTCCTCTGCCTTCCTGTACTCAGGCTGAGCACAGACAAGTGCAAGAGAAGGGCTAAGAAGAGATTCAAAGGTAGGGTGACCAACCATGCGGTCTACCTAGGACTGGGGTATTTTCCAGAATGTGGAACTCTCAGTGCTAAAGGTAGGAGGAGTCCAGGCACACTGGGACAAGCTGGTCATCCTACCTGGAAGGTTTCTGTCTGTGCTTCTTTGGAGCCTGAAGCAGCGAAGCAAACCTTTTTGTTGTTGAGGACTCAGAACCTGGGGTGAGGAAGCATGGGGGGGTAATTTAGAAGAAAGTAAGGTGACCATGACACTTTCTGAACACCTGAGTATTCACCTGTGTTTGGCCTACACAGAAGATGCCATAACTAGAGTTACACAACCTGATTTTGAGTCTCACGAAAATGTAATGGAAAGTAATTCTGGCAGTTACACATATTTTAAAGACTAGGCTCAAACGGGTTACTGAGGGAAGAAAAAGAAGAAGAAAAGATTACCTGTCAAATAAGAGAAAAGCATTTAACCTCAAAGAGTGGGTGGAATACCAATGCACTGAGCAATTTTATAAATTGGGCACTTCAGCTTTTAAAGAAGTACAATACTTCTTCCAATTTCTAAATTGAGTTACTTGTCCATCCCTGAAAAAATTTGACTTATGTGCATTCTTCTTAAGAGTTGGTTAAAATGAAAGACAGCTGTCCCAGCTTTTTCACAGTCAGAGGAGCACAGGACACCAGAACACAGGTGTGGGCCCCAAAGAAGCTCGCAACCTCACACATGGGGCCCACTTACCCTTCAAGGGCTTAATACGTGCAAGACACTATGCTGGGCACAGGGCAGACACAGCTGAGAAACTCAGACTCAGAGAAAGACATATACAGGTATCATTTTTACTTTTAAGAGACCCAGAGACTCAAAATAAGGCCGTGGACAGAGTTCTAATAGCATTTAATCAGTGCCTTAGTGGCACTGTCAGCGAAATGCTATGGGAACCCAGCTGAGGCAGCCAGGCTCTCCACACACAAACCTACCTCTGTGCCTCTGCTCAGGCCTAGTTCTATCTGTTCTTGCCTGTCCCCTGAATCCTCGACTTTTCTGACTACTGGACCCTTTCCTCAACATGGATCAACATTCAAGACTCTCCTATCCCTAACAGCCCTGTCAAAAAACCCTACCTTGTCTTTTTAGGGTTGCCGCGTAGCAAAAAAAAAATTTTAATGCCCACTTATATCTGAAAATTGGGTAAAAAAGAGACTTTTTTTCATTTAGTATAAGAATGTTTCAGGCACTATTTGGGACACAAACTAAAAAAATAATTACATTCAGTAAACTAGGAATAGAAAGGAACTTCCTCAACACAGTAAAAGGCATTTATTTAAAAAACCCACAGCTTAAAAACTGACGAAGGACTGAAAGCATTCCCAAGATAAGGAACAAAACAAGGATGCCCACTTTCATCACTGCTATTCGATTCTGTGCTAGAAGTTGTAGCCAGAGCAATTAGGTAAGAAAAGTAAAGGGAATCCAAAGTGGAATGGAAGACATAAAACTATCTCTATCCACAAATGACATGATCTTATATATAGAAAATCCTAAAGAGCCCACACACAAACAAAAAAACAATTAGAGCTATTAAAAGAATTATGCAAAAGTGCAGGATAAATGTTGTATTTCTATACATTAACAAATAAATATCAGACAATCTTATTTACAAGAGCATCAAAAAGAATAAAATATACCCTAGCTCATGTGGTTCAGTGGATTGGGTGTGGGCCTGCAAATCCAAAGGTTGCTGGTTCAATTCCCCATCAGGGTACATGCTTGGGGTTGTGGGCCAGGTCCCCAGTTGGGGGCGTGCAAGAGGCAACCAACTGATGTGTCTCTCATACTTGGGTGTTTCTCTCCCTCTCTTTTCTCCCTCCCTTCTTCTCTCTCTATTAATAAACAAATAAATCTTTTTTGAAAAGAATACTTAGGAATAAATTTAACTGAAGACATATAAGACTTGGACACTAAAAACTACAGAATGTTGATGGAAGAAATTTAAAAAGACCTAAGTAAAGGGAAAGACATCCTGTGTCCACAGACTGGACTTAATATTGTTAAGATTGAAAGATGCCAAATACCATTAGTCACTAGGGAAATGCAAATCAAAACCACTTCACATCTACCAGGACGGCTATTACACACATCCACACACCCACACGCCCACACAGAAAATAACAAGTGTTAGCAAAACAAGAACTGCCACCTGCCCTCATCCCTATTTGAGGTCCAGCCTGACCCTTTCTGCCTGAAGGCCATCTCAGCATGGCCCAGGCAGACTCATTAACCCTTTACCCAAAATTCCTTTCTGCTTTGATTCCTATTTCAGTTGTTGACTTCTGTCAATCTAGGGACCAGAACCTTCATTCCCCAAATGAATGAGCTACCAAGGCCTGTCTTTTCCCCCTTCCAAACATTTCTAGAATTCAAACTTTCCATTCTCATAGCTCTGCCCTCATCTCTCACATGAGCTCTTGCATATATGTGAAATATTCTCCAACTCATCTCACGCACCCCCACTCCCAAATCTAGTTCTACCCTGCCTTTCACCTAACATTTCTAAAACACCACTCTGCCCAATTAGCCCCCAACTTAGATCCCTATAGAGAAACCCCAGCCCTTTGCAGCCCAGATATTCTCTACCACCTCTCTAGAAGCACACTCTGGCCCTGGCTGGCATAGCTCAGTGGATTGAGCGCGGGCTGCGAACCAGGCAGCGCAGGTTCGATTCCCAGTCAGGGCACATGCCTAGGTCGCAGGCAATGGCCCCCAGCAACTGCACATTGATGTTTCTCTCTCTCTCTCCCTTCCCTCTCTAATAAAATAAAATCTTAAAAAAAAAAAAAAAGTAGCACACTCTGCCTTTCTCCCACCCTCAGCCCTCCAACAATACCCGACCACCCTGACTAAACATTACTGTCTGTTATAGGATCCATTCTAGGCACTGGAAATAAACTAATTAGACAAAGTTAACTCAAAAGCTACTTTCCAAAAGAAAAAACAGTAAGTAAATAAAGAATAATTTCTGATACTGCTGAGGACAGTGAAGAAAATGAAGCTGGAGAAAGTGACAGACCATGACTGAAGGCCAATAGGGCACTATTTTAGTTAGCATGGATGGGGAAGTCCTCTCTTAACAAGTGACCTTCCAGAATAGAGCTAGATAATGGTGGGAGGGATCCTTTTTAAAAGAAATTCCCACAGACCCCCAGATATTTACAATGTTACTTCTATCAAGTTACATAAATACAATCCCCTTATACCTGTGACTCTAATACAACCAAACCTGAAGCCCACTAGACCTCCTGTATGAGCAATAGTAAGTTTCCTTCTCATCTGAGCTGCTTGCCATGAAAACCATTCTGCATGATCATCATATTTTTGAGAACTGGCCCAACAGGAACTCATATAATTATACTTCTCTAAGTTCAACTTTAGGAAGAAATTATACCAGGAGTGTAAAAGAAGCAGAAATGCAGAAGAGAGGAGGCTAAGAAGAAGTTACTAAGCTCACTAGCTCTGAAGTGGCTTTTTAAAGCAGGAAGCATCAGCATCTAAGGACAACCAACCAAATGTAACCCAGAGTAAGAAGGACTTGCCCTGGCCGGTGTGGCTCAGTTGGTTGGCGAATCATCCTATAAACTCAAGGGTTGCAGGTTTCAATTCCCATGCCTAGGTTGCTGGTTTGGTCCCCAGTTGGGGTGTGCATAACAGACAACCAATCAATGTTTCTCTCCTTCTCTTCCCCTCTCTCTAAAACCAATAAGCATGTCCTTGGATGAGGATTTTAAAAGTAAAAATAAAGAATAAAGACTTTAATTTTGGAGGGTGTGAAGAAAAACCATGCATGGGGGAAAATCCTGAAATGTAAGTGAGGTTGTACAAGGTTCTTATTTTATAACAAAGTATATGAAAACCCCTTGAAAAACTGCCTTTAGACAATGTCTGGCTCTACTTTTATCTTAAAAATTCAAAGTGACTGTGAGGTAAGTATGATAAACAGAGAAAAAAATGAGATAGAAATTATTTGAAAATAGGACATTTTGTTTATTATTTACCTGTACAAATCAGCAGCAACTAATACAACTGGACCAGGTTACAATTAATTCACAATAGCATACACTACCTCCAGTCTGCCACAAACAAGAGTACAAGTCTCCTCAGCACATCATTTTATCAAGAACCTACATTCTGGCTTTTGTAACTGTTTCACAACACCTGGTACAGTGCGTACCTATAGCATTCATGAGCAGAAATGCCCGGGGGCCCTTCAGAGAGCAGAGGTGAACACTTTCTCATGGAGGAATGCAAGCTTTTCTAAGTGAGTTCGCTTCAGTAGCGGGAGCCATTCCCAGTGGGATAACTCTACCACACGGTACCCAAGCCGATTCAGCTGCCGCCTCTTCATATTGTGCAGTCCCAGCAGATCCCTGGAACCATAGCAATACTGGTTCTTGTTTGTCAACTGAATAGCCAGCTTCACTTGTGGTGCCTGCATGCAGGCTGGCGAGCACAGGCCAGCCATCTCCATGGCCCCCAAGGGTACGAATGCCTTCTTCTCTAATTCCATGGGCTGCTGCCCAGTCTTTGACTCAGTTTCCCCCTGGAAATGCCCCCCTGATTTCCCCTTTAGTAGCTGATTCATCAAGTCATCTGTAAGACTGACTCCCACATGCTTGAGCCTTAATTTGGCTACATCTTCAGTGGGTGTGGCTTCTCTGTTAAATGGTAATGGCTTCATATTAACATCAAGCTGGACCTCCAAGTCAGAAGATCGGGTATGAGGCAAAATCATATGGTGTTTGATATACTGGGGCCCACCCAACATCCTTTCAAGTAAAAAGAGAGCTTCTAGGAATTCAGGCTTTGAGGTCATATCCTTCCTAGCTGAATTCCACAGTATTTCTGACCCCTCTTGCTGAAGGTGAGAACTAAGACGATTGCCTCTGTATTCTGGACACTCAATGCCAACTGAACCATCAAGTGTATACAGCTCCTTAGTGAGTTCAAACTTAGTTCTCTCCTGAGCTAACCTGATGAACCCTGGACTTAAAGCAAAATTGATGAGCTCTACTGGAAAGTACTCGGAAAACGCCAGGCCTAGCAGGCAAGTGAGCAGGTGTTCTGGGTATCGGTTGAACTCAGGCATCTTTCTGTGAATCTCGTTGATCAGGCTAGAATAAAACTCTTCAGCATTGGGTGGCTTATAGTTCAGAGTTCCAAATGACCACAGAAACTTGGCAATATCTTTGCTTCGACAGTATGCTACTCTAGGAGGCAAAGAAGCAGCCACAGCATTCATTACCCCTTCATCCAGGATGCGTAAGGCAGAGCAGGCAAGAGTCAGGTGCATGACACCTTGAACTCCCAGGGAAGGAATTCGCTGAGGAGCAATCTGCCCAAATTGCTTCATGAAATTTACATGATCCACGTGAGTGAAACGGAACATTTTAAGAATATTCACTAAGGCATAACTACTCAGATGCTGCATGTCAGCACACGCCAAGTCTCCGATTTTCCGCATGACAAATTCTGAGAGACTACTACTTGATTTAAAGAACCCCAAACAGATTGTACCAGCTTCCTCTAACATGATACAATCTATATACTTGAGGATCAACGATTCCAGTTTTGGCATTAGGTCTTGGGGTGCCTGACGACTTTCACCTATAATATAAATCAAGTGAATCAGCTGGGACAAGGACAGGTCTTTCCAGTGCAAATTAAGATAACTAAAAAAGATCTTTAAAAACCGAGGGACTCTGCGGCCCAAGCACCGCCAGAGGTCAGCCACCAAAAGTAGTTGATCCAGACTCATATCCCATACCTTATGGCAAAACCTGGCTTCATACACATCTAGCATTGAATGGGAATGAGGGATCCCTAAACTGACAAAGGCTTTCAAAATGCTGATCAGATCTGGGGTACCAAAGAGCTCTATGTTCTTCACACTCAGCTGGCAGAGCACAGAAAAACTGGCACTGGGAAGCAAAACAGGGTGCTGCTCCACAGGCACGCAGCTCAGCTTACAGAAACAGTTGGCAATGATCTGGGGCTGGAGATTATCTTGATAAACTGTGACTTTGTGTAATATTAGTTTACCTTCTGACACTGACAGGGGCTGACAAGACTCAGATCTGTTATAGCTGTGAAGCTGGTATTCTGGTCTCAGCTGTAGGAAAGCTCGGGGATCTTCAAAGGAATCAAAAACTTCCACATCCTCTTCGTCAACCTTCATGGTCCTGGGTGGGCCCGGCTGCAGCGTGCTGGCCTTAGAGGCAGAAGCCCTGCTGAATCCCAAACTCGGAAGGGCACTGCTGGTTGTCAGGATCCTCTGAGAAGAGGAGGTGCTACAGATGTTCTCAACGTTTTTGGCAGGATGGCAGAGACCACTGTGTTCTGGAGGGTCTTGTCCCCTGTGCCATGTGCCGCTTCCCACATTCCAATATGCCACACTTTGGGTTGCACTGCAGGCAAAAGGACTGCAAAACGCTCGATATCCTAAGGGTTTTAGTAACTTGAGAGTGGCTGCCATTCTGGCTTCAGTACAGATGGCTTTGGCAATCAGAACGCAGTCCTCACAGGTCTGACCAGGCAATTTCTTGTTTATATGGTGCTTGATTAGAGCTGGACGGGGAGGCGTTCCACAGAAACTGCCTGGAAATCTTCGGCATACCACAAGAGCCATGGGTCACAAATGACTGGGCCAGAATTGGTGCCAGATACTGAAAAAAGGGTAGATGAAGAATAAGTGGCTTCCACCTATCACAATACCAAAATTTACATATTATAAGAAGTGGATTAAAACTCTGCTGTCCACTCAATTAAGTTCAACACTAGTGAATGCCCAAACCACACGACAGCATACATCAAGGGATAAACTCCATGTGACTTGCATAAAGACACAAGAAAACCTCAAAACCAGACTTCCTTCTGGATTTCCTGACCTCTGGACAGAATTTCTTTATGGTGCAGAAAAGCAGTGATGGTTAGAGAAGAGACAGTTGCTCTGCTAACTCCCAACAGGAAAGGAAGGCAGATTTTCAAAAAGAAAGCTGGGGCCCTGGCTGCGAGGTTCAGTTGGTTCAAGGGTTGTTCCAATGCACTGAGGTTGCGAATTCAATTCTGCACACACAAAAAATCCACCAATGAATGCATAAATAAGTAGAACAACTAATTGATGTTTCTCTCCCTTCCTGTCTCTAAAATCAATAAAAAAATTAAAAGGAGAAAAACAAGAAAGCTGGAAAAAAAAAGTGAGCAACCTATTCCATCTCCGTGATAGCAACACATAAAGGCCCACTCGGAGAATGAGAAAGCTGGTGAGAGCTGCCGTGCCAACACCAAAACTAAAAAGTGGGGTTTGGTGTAAAGTTTAATTCATTACACTCAACGTAACCCTCCTTATTCCCAAAACACACAACTTTGATTACAGAACTGTCTCTCTAATGCTGTTCCTATACCTGTTAGAAGATGCCTAGTCTCCTCTCCAAGAAGCTTGTACGAGTTTGGACCGCTACTGCAGAGCAGTCATGCAATTGGGAAGCACACTCAAACACACTCATTTTGGTGTGAGAGGACAAAAGGCCAAGGCCCTGTTCACTGTCAATTCATGGGTGGGAAGCAAGATGGTTCTCAAAGTCAGGTTCAAGGTGCAGGGAAGATCAATGCTCACGACTGCCATGCTGACATGTGAGGGGAGCGGCACCGAGTTCCTCCAGAGGCAGTGGATTAGCAATGCTTCCCATGAGTCAGGTGCTGCTTATCCTGCCTGTGAGCAGCACAAGTCCCATTTTTTCTCCCATGGTGGAAGGCACGAGATGTTATTAAATGGACTCTGCTGTACCCTGGTTTTCTCTAAATGCTTTTTGTCTTTCCTTCCACTTCAGAAATGCCAAAATCTGACAAGCAAAGTCCAGGGAGACTTGAGGAGCCAAGATATGAACCAGACAGGGCTGGTGCTACAGAAAATCCCTTGAGGGTTCTGAGGGAAGCAGAGTGACTCACTGAAATGCCTGCCCACCTCCCATCAGCCCCTTCCTTCCAGAGCCCAGGGCATAAGAACCAGAGGACCACAGGGCAGGTTAGTGGCTTCATTCTGGTCACTCAGCTAGAAAGGTTTCTTGGATGGCAGGAATGTGTGCCCCACTTTCTTTGTGCACCAGAGCAGAATTTTTTCACATGAAATCATTATATACCTGATTCTCACCATAGCCTGTGACCCATTCTGCACATCAAGTTGCGATCCAGGGTCCAGAGGCCACAGACCAGCTATCAGCAAACTATGGCCCAAATCTAGCCATCCCCCTGTGTTTGTAAGTAAAGTACTATCAGAACACTGCCAGGCCATTCATTACTATTGTTTTTAGCTGCTTTCTTGCCAGAGAAGCAAAATTAAGCAATTGTGGCAGAAAATATATGGCCTCCAAAGCATAAAATATTTACTATCTCGTCCTTTAAGAAAAGTTTATTATAGACCATTTGTTTACTCCTATGAATGCAGATGGACAACTTTTAAAAATTAGAAAACACCAGGAAAATAATGCTTAAATTTTATTTTTTAATGTTTAGATAAGTTGAAGATTTATGCCTCAAAGTAGATAGTAGGAATCTCAATACTACAGCATAGGCATGGTGGAGACAAAAGACAGAGCAATAAATGGAGCTCTCCAGTTGACAGAACAGGGCTTTTTTTTTTTTTTAAAGATTTGATTTATTTATTTTTAGAGAGGGGAAAGGAGGGAGAAAGAGAGGGACAGAAACTTCAATGTGTGGTTGCCTCTCATGCGCCCCCTACTGGGGACCTAGCCTGCAACCCAGGCATGTGCCCTGACTGGGAATTGAATGGGCAACCCTTTGCTTTGCAGGCCCGCGCTCAATCCACTGAGCCACACCAGCCAAGGCCAGAACAGGGCTTTTAAGAAGACCTGCTTTGGATCCTGGAATTAAATTTAGTCCAACACAATGTGCAACTAAAGCCATAAACTATTCAAATCTGTAGTCCTTCATCTCATCTTGGGGACTAGATCTGAAAAGATAGCTTCAAAAAAAAAAGAGAGAGAGAAATAGGCTTTTACCACAATAGCTGTGCTACATAAACAAAAAAATGGAAAACAAAAACAAAATGTTCATCCACAAGGAGGAGGCAGGTTTACAGAATAAGTGCGTAGCAGGCACCAACACATGAAAAAGTACATACAAGTATCAGCGGAACAAACAGATTACAAATCAGTGACATCACCTAAAATGCACTTATATAAAAGGAAGTGAGCTATATAGTTTCTTTGTGGAGGAGGCTTTGTTATATCTTTGATAAATTAATTTTATTCCCATTTTAATTGAGGTTAAAAGTGTTAGTACAAAAGAATATATGGATTAGTTTAACAAATACCTTTATAAATTATGTAATTTTAAAAGTGCATTTAAATGGCCAGTACTTCAATTAATACCACCTAACAATATTTACTAAAATTACTACACACGGTCTTAAAATTAGTAAGAATCATCTCCTAGAAAATCAATGTCAGACTGGTGTCGATCCTGTGTGTCGAATTAATGTGGCTCTTTTTCATTTGTAAAAATGCAGGCCAAGTCCCAAAATGGAAATAACAAGAGCTACAATTGTCATAGAACCTCCTCTGTACCAAGCCTTGTATGAGCTATTTTATCTGTATTAGTTCCAATCCTTACAACATTTCTGTAAGGTGGGTTTTACTATCTCCCTACTGTTGATGAGGAAAAGAGGACTTCACAAGACTAAGAAACCTGCTAAAGGTTACACAGCCAAGGCACACAGCATGGGTCTGACATCAAGGATTGTCTCATTCATTCCCAAACTAACACTGCTGGTATACTGGAGAGACAGGAGAGGCAGATTCCAGACAGGGAAATGGGGAAGACAGTGAACAATCTACAGGGTGCCAAGGAGCTGGAAGGTTAGACCCTGATGAAGTCAAAAGCCCTACCGACCTCTAACAGTCAGGGATCCTAACTTTCACCATGCTTACACTACTTACAAAGGAAGAACAAAGAGACGTCAAAGAGGGAAATATCCTTCCATAAAGGAGTGGGTGCCCCAGTACTGAGGTAAAAAGATCCATCATATCTGAAAACCTGAAAGCTGGGAAGAGAGATAGGAGACCCAGAATTTAGGGTTCAACATATGAGAGAAGCAAAGGGAAATCCCAGGATAATGACAAAGGAAGACCCCAGCACTAGAGCTGTGAGCAGACATAGAGTAACCAGTTCAGCCCTGGCCAGCTCAGTTGGTTACAGCATCGTCCCAATGCACCAGGGCTGTGGGTTTGATCTCTGGTCAGGGCACATGCAGGGGTCAACCAGTGAGTGCATAAAGAGTGGAACAGATCGATCTTTCTCTCTCTCCGTCCCCTTCCTCTCTCTCTTTAAAAATCAATCAATAAATTAAAAAAAAAAAGTAACCAGTTCATGCTGGAGGAGATAGTTATTACCTGAGAGAGGAGATTTACACTTCTAATGGGTAATCTGGGGTAAGGTAGACAGAAAACCAAGCCAATAACAACTACAAAAGTTAGTTAACTCCAGAAAAACAAATTAAGTTGTACAAGACAAATAATGTTACTCCCTGTGAATAATCTTATTAATCCCTGTACATAATCTTATTAACATAAACCTCAAATATCAACCTAACCAAAAACTATCAGCAAATAGGAAGGAGGGAGGTGAAGACAGGTAGGGGAACTGGGGCAGTCCAAGAAGAGACCGAGTACCAGAAGAGACCCAGAGCCTGCAAGTCTACAATGAGGAGGTCAAGAGATTTTTATAGACATTGATATCAATATCTCCTAGAAATCACAAAGTAGCAATACAAATATGTTATTCAGAAATATACTCAGAAACAGACAAATAGTTGAAAGTGCCTCTAGGGAACAGAAAGGGAGAAAAGAGAGGAAATTAATATTTAGTATTGTAAGTTCTATCTAACTGTTTACCTATGCAAACAAGATTTGTGTATAACTTCGACAGAAATTAAATTTACAAAATGTAATGGGAAATGTAGGTATTCTTCAATAAGACAATCAGTGAGTAGAGGAAGTAATCTTAATATTCAAAGAAAATGTTAAAAAGCTATCCCAGTGTGAGTGCTTCCTACTGCAGTAGAGCTGCTTTATGAATGCCCACAGAGTGGGCAGAAAGGATGACAAAAATAATCTCAGAGACAGGCAGAACCAAACTGCAAAGAGCAGACAGTGCTACTTACTTTTCCATTGTGGAACTTTTAGTGTTAAATAAATATACACCCTATCATGAAATATAATTATTTCAGAAGTTGGGTCTTAAACACTGTGGAAAAGGAAGGGAAAGAAACACAAGATACACAGCCAATAAAGCAAAAAGTGGGAAGAAAAGGAGGGAAGGATACAAAGCCCAGGTAGAGAAAACACAGCTGAGAGAGAGTTAATTCTTCCTTAGTTAAGGACTCCCAGAAAATCTGTAAGAAAGCTGAGAACACTCTGAAATGCCCAGTAACTCTTGATGCCTTCTATAAAGGTTCAAATATATGTCATCATTTCACAAAGCCCTTTACAATTTTTTTAAAAATTTATTTATTATTTTTAGAGAGAGGGGAAGGGAGAGAGAAAGAGAGGGAAACATCGATGTGTGAGAGATACAGAGCTCGACTGGCTCTTACAGGCCTCCAACAGGAGACCTAGTCTGCAACCCTGGCCTGTGCCCTGACCAGGAATCGAACCAGCCACCTTTCTGTTTGGAGGCTGGCACTCAATCCACTGAGCTTACACCAGCCAGGGTGCCCCTTTCCTAGTTTAAGTGCCCCAAGTATACCCTGTTCCCCCCTCCTCTCTAGGGGTCTTTATGAAGCAGACTGGAACTTCAGAGACCCCCCCGGAGCTTGGCTATTCTGAAAGACACTGCCCAAACCACCCTGAATCATGTGATTTCACAGGAGTGTGGAATCTTACCTTTCTACCTTCCAGGCACAGGTCTGAGCAAGATGGAATAGCTTCATTTTAAACTACAGTCCAGAAGTTAGAGAAGAACCAGGTGGAGGAAGGCAGCCATGCTAACTGTAGATTAAGTATATAACACCCTCAGCATATGCCATTTACCAGTTACCAGATTTCACCCCATTTCATCACATGTAATTCTGATTTCTGGTCTTTCTGCTAGAAAGGTTTAACCCTCTTGTGTCCTAGTAAAATTACCACAAATAAATAGATACTTCAAAACCTATTCTTATCTTAGCAAATAATTTATTGAGCAACTCTTAAAAAAAAAAAAAACAACAACAACCTACCTTTCTCTAGGTGCTACAGTCTCCTGACAAGAGCCTACAAAGCTTTAAAGCCCATGGTGAGGGTTTAGAAGCTGACAGTGTGAACCCTTAGATGTTAACACAGATGCTAGCTGGGCTAGACTCGTCCGTGTTTATTCCCACACAGAAGCACAGGCTACAAGAGGGGGTCTACAACTATGATGAAGGCAAAGCACTAATGTAAAGGTGTCTGGGTCAAGATAAGTATTGCCCACAGAGCTAAGTTAAACCCAAATCAAGTCTGACAGCCCATCCTCTCTACTTCGTTCTCCTTTCCACGTGTATGGGAGAGACACTAGCACATTACAATCACCTGTGAAATTTTTTTTAGCTTCCATAGCCCTCTCTTCCCCTTCTAAGGCTTCACTTTTCCTCTATTAAAATGGCAAGAGGGCCTGAGTAGATATAGTCTGATAGGGCCCCACAGATGATTTTGTTAGAGCCACTGCTCTTAAAGGGCCTGATGAGACTGTCATTAGAAAATCTCCGACTACAACAAGGAGCAGAAACTCATGTTCTTAGCCCATCTAAATGGGACTACTGGAGGACTGACAAAATCCAGGCAGGTAAAGAGAAGTATCTGTACCCACAGTTACGTGGAAAAATTCCCAAATAAATGGTCCATGTACCTTCCACTGTTAACTCCACAAAACACTTGGTTTTAAATCTGTTTTCCTAGATTTGCAAAGCCACACAATATAGTGGTTCAGACAAGTGAAGGGAGGACTTCAAAATTCTTGGACAGCAAAGATGACTTCTTTGCATGATGAATGACAAGGCCTTACCGGGGAAGAGAAAAATAAACCAATGAATGGAGAAGAAAACCAAACCAACAAATCAGACCTGCGTAATTGCCAAAGGCCTCACTTTCTCAGTTGTATTTTGTGGCCCTGAGTGTTCAGGTTTTTATTTTGGTCTATGAGGCCGTGGTAAATTCGTCCCAGAGTTTTCCCAAAGCTATTCAGAGCAGCGAGTTGCAGAATCTAGTAACTACTCAAAACGTGCCCCAAGTGCAGAAAACATGCATTCTGATTACCACAGCAATAAATTACTGCAGCACCAAAAAGGAGCCATTTGGTGCTAAAGCACTCGGCTACCAGCTCCACAGGATGGAGTACTGTCCAAGGGTCTACAGTGAGTGGGCAATACAGTATTATCTCAGGAGACCGATTAACCTAACTGGTATAAGAGGGCCCAGAGCTTCCTAGGTCAGGACAGAAGAGCTGTGTCATGACTTGGACATACAGAGAAAAGGCAATTATTCGTCTTATTTCTAGAGGGAGGAAAAAGGGGAACATCAATACTACCCTTAGGCATGTGACACCAAAAACTGTTAAAAATATATCGTATTAATATTTACTTAAGTCTCACCCCAACCCAGGTACGAAGCAAACTACTGTAAGGCCTTGTTGCTCCAAGGACGGTCTGAGCAACCGCGGCATCAGCCTGACCTGGAAGCTGGTCAGAAAACGAAGAGCCTCAGGCCCCACCCCAGACCTACAGAATCTGAGTCTCCGAGATCCCTCAGGGATTCATATGCAAGTTAAAGTGTGATGAGGTGCGTCTGGCTACTTTCCCACGACAACTGTCTCACAGCTGAAAAATCGAAATTCAGATAAGCCGCTCTCCCAATGTCACAAGACTCCGGAGTGGGGTCGCCGAGGTTCTCCCTAGAGCCCGGCTTGACAGAAGCCCCGGACACCCGGGCCGAAAAGCGCACGGCTGGACCTCGGCGCGTGCGGGCCCTCGGACGGCCAGCAGGCGCAGGCCTCCGCCCAGGTCAGCACGGAGAGGCCGGCGCGACCTCCTCCCCGGGCCGCTGCCACTCACCTGAGCCAGACCAGCGCCAGCACTGCATCGGGCTACCCCGGATCCCGCAGTCCGCCACACCACCTCAATCCCAGCTACACAAGAGGCTCACGGCCCCACTTCCGGCCAACTGCCGGCTACTTCCGGCTGCTGTGTGAATGACGGGTGCCGCCGAGGCTCAAAAGACTTTCAGCGTTTTTCAAGGACATCTTCCACTAAAGGATAATGTTGAAGAGTCAGGAGGAATCTAGGACCTGCGGAGGGGAAACACCGCCACGGACACACTCCTCTGGAAGTAATTGAATAGACAAATTAGAGGTTCGAATCCCAACCACCATTCTGGGTTTTATGGTCTTGGGAAGTCACATAAACTCTCTAAGCCTAGTTTCTCATCTGTATGGTAAAAGTAATCAGTTTTTAAAAATAGAGCTGTGCCCTGGCTAGTGTGGCTCAGTGGACTGAGCGCCGACCTGCGAACCGAACCAAAAGGCTGCCAGTTGGATTCCCAGTCTGGGCACATGCTTGGGTTGGGGGCCAAGCCCCCGGTAGGGGACTCACGAAAAACAACCATACATTGATGTTTCTCTGCCTCTCTCCCTTCCCTTCCCCTGTCTCTAAAAGTAAATAAATATGACCTTTAAAAATAAATAAATAAAAATAGAAGTGTAATCATAAAGTACAGCCAGAAGTTAGTGATGGGACGAACCCGGTAGGAGAAGTTAATGTGAAGAGGAGCCAGTGTGATCCTCCACCACCCTAGGTAGGGGGCTCACACCTGAGTTGATATGGGCAAAACTAGGCAAGGAAGAGGCTCCACTGAGATCTTCCAGCAGGGCCTGGCCCCACACTGCCTTTCCGGGGGGCACCAGAGAACTGCTGGTCAGGGTCACCATACTTTGCCAGTGTCTTGGCTGCTGGTTCACTCACCTTAAGTTCTGTGAACCTCAGAATTGGTACTTCCTCTGTGGCACCATCCTGCTGGAGAGACAAACTCAATGTAGGCAGGATACTTCACTGCAAGCAGGGAGGGGTTAAGCCTGACATCCCAACTCCTGAGCTCATCAGAGGGCACTGTTTGCCTGGGGGTGAATATTTGGAGCCCCAGGCCACTGACACCACTGCTCAGAGAGGGTTCTCTCCCTTCGGCCAGACCACACGATTAGTTGTTGATTATGACTCTGTCTTTGCCAATGGAACTTAGAGACAGCAGAGGACCCATCCTGGGGGTGGACCACTTTGCTCCTAGGCATCCATGGCAATCCTGTCCTTGTCAAATACTGAATGTCCTAGCCTCCCTTGAAGTGGGAAAAACATTTGACTCAGTTCTGGCCAACAAAACTTAAAGGGAAATGTGCTGGCAGGGTTCTGGGAAAGCTTTTACTTTCATGATAAAGTAGTGCTGCCTCAATGCTTTCATGGAGCTGTGGCAGCCACCCTGTGGCATGATGTGGGGACCACATGCTAAGAATGGGAAAGTAGGAGGATGAACAGTCTTGGTCCTTGATGAACCAACACCTATGACACTTAGGATGCCTACCAGACTTAGGTGAGAAAAAAGAAGCCACTCTTTAAGGTCCTGTAAATAAGGGTGTGTTACTTGTAGCAGAATACATTCTTGATGGGGGGCTTTGTAAGGATGACAGAAGAAATTATCATAAAGGAGGGCACTTACCCCCAAAGGATGGCTCCTTGCTTGCAGAACACTTGGGTGCCTTCTGCCTTTTCAGCCTCAGCACTAATTACAAACCAGTTCTCATCCTTCATTACTACATATTCTTCCCACCAACGTCAGCCTATTGCTGTAAGGTGGCTCAGGCCACTGCAGGCTGCATGTAGCTGCCCTGCATCCTCTGCCTTCTGGCCAGCAGCCTGCTGTCTAGATTCTGGGCTGGAACCAGCTTGAAATGCTTTGGGCGACATTCAGAAGGCCCTGCTAGGCAGAGATGGGGAAGCATGACTCCTCCAGGGCAGCATGGAGGAGCTTGGGCTTTGAGCCAACCTCCTGGCACAGCCCAATGAGCACCTTGTCTCATGCCTCCTCTGGGAAATCTGTTTACTCCAGCTTTGCCCTCCACACCTCCCTCACCTCCAAAGACACAAACAGGCCAAAGAATGCCACTCAAGAGGCTTTCTCAATTTTATTTCTTTGGGAAAAGAAAACAAAGTCTTTCCATCACATATGGTAGAGATATATATTTATATATATATTTATATATAATTTCTTTTGTGGTTGGAAGTCCCAAAGCTGAGTCTGTTCATATTTTTTGTTTTTCTCTTTTTCCTACTAATGCCTTCTCTTCCCCCTGCCCCTCTGGCCCAGACCCAGGTTCTGGGGCAGGTGTATTGAGGGGTGAGCAGAATGGGCAGTGATTGCCACGATGGCCCCCCAACCTAGTTCAGAGATCTGGTGAGGGCCACCGGAAGGGGCTGTGCAAAGAGATAAGAGGCCACACAGGGGGACACTTCTGTTTTCATGGGGGACGCACAGCATGTTAAACAGTCACCAGTCATGGGAGGAGGCTGGTCAGGGGTTAGGGGACTTGCTCACAGTAGTTGCCAGCTCTCCCCACCCTGCCCCCAAATCTATTCTTGGGGGTGGGAGGAAGAGAGTGAAGAGAGAGAAATATGAGGACTAAGTGCCAAGCCTCCTCCAATTTTTATTGCTGGTGAATTAGAAATTTGCCTTTCCCTTCCTATCTTGGGGAGATGGACTCTGAGGGCCCACAGAGAAGAAAGTCACATTGCTGTCCCAACCCCCACTGATGGCCATGCCAAGCCTCCCCTGGGCAAACAGTGAGCTAGCTTAGGGCCCTGGGGAACCCAAGTCCGTGTTCCTCTCAGGTCAGCCTTGTTCTTCAAGGGCAATCACAGGCCCCCTCCCCGCCAAAACAAGGGCCTCAGGCTCAGGCTTGGGGCCAGTGGAGCTTGGAAGTGGGCAGTGCACCAAATATCAAGCAGAATTTTCTATTGGAAGAAAGGTGAGGTTTGGGGGGAAGAGGTGGCCTGGGACAATGAGCTGAAAGCAGGAGGCTGGGGGAATGGAGAGGGGACATCACAGACACTCATGACCTCAGGAACTGGGTGAGGGGAGTGCCTGAGAGGCAGGTAGCACTTCATAGCTGTAGTTAGAACCAGATAGTGGCCCTGGGTGTGGGGTCAGCCAGGCAGATGAGGCTATTGCCCTTGGATCCTGGCCAGAAAAGAGGGTGTGTGTGTGTGTGTTGGGGTGGGGGGAGCTTAGAAGCCTCCAGGTGACCCTTTCCAGAAACAGGAGGGCAAATCTTTCCTGGGCACTGAGCCTCCAGCCCCAGCCTCTCCTTCCCCCAACTCCTACATATGGGCACACACTCAGGACAGAGCCAGGCTCTGAGGCCTGAGCCCAAGAGACCTTGGGGGGAGGGGCTGGGCAGGTAGCCCTCTCAACCACAGCCAGGCCATCTGCTCCCACTTGTCCTGCCAATCTGCCTAGGGAGGGAGAGTAGTGCAGGAAGGAGAGAGGCCAGGAGCCCAAGGTCTATCAGTTTCAGTAGACCCCACGCAGGCCCCCTCAGGCTACATGGCCTAGGAGGTGAGCACGAGAGCATCACTGGACACACCAACAGTAGCAGCCCAGACTCATTGAGGGGCTGGGCGGCCTCACTGCACGGCACTGCGGACCTGCTGCCTTTATCTCCAACAGGGAGTGCCAACAAAGGGAACCTGGGCCCACTAGCTCTGCCCTCCCCGTTCCCTCCTTGGGAGGAGGGTCGGAGTGGGCTGCCCAGAGGGGCAGTGGTAGAGCTAAGAGGGCACTCAGTGCAGGGAGGGTAGGGACCTGGTCACAGCTGCTTTGAGAACCTCTTTGGTCTGGGGATATGGGAACGATGGGGAAGAGAGATGGTGGGAGGGAATACTGGGGACTCTGGCCTTTGACAGGACATTTGTCAAAAGTCTGAATGCCCAGGTTAGGGATCAGATTTCTGTAGATTCAATGCGCTCCAGGCGGGAGGGGGTCCAGGCTTTCTTCTCCTCGCCGTGTTGGGGGGTAGGTGTGCTGGCACCCCCTGCGGCCCCGCGCTCCCGCAGCCGCCGCTCCAGCTGCTGGTTGCGCTGGTACATCTCCACATAGCTCAGCTGTAGCTGCTTCTGGTACTCGATGACCTTCTCCTTCTCCTCCAGCCACACGCGGCGCTCCTCTGCGAAGCTGGCCCCCTGGCGCTCCCGAGCTCGCCGCTCAGCTGCTAGCTCGGCCTGCAGCCGCCCCACCTCCCGCCGCAGGGCCCTGGTCCCACTCTCCCCGCCAGCATCCACCTCCCCATCTAAGGAGACCAAGGAGGCGGCAGCAGCCACCCCAGCCTGCCGGCGCATCTTGGCCTCATCACTCTCGCAGGTGGCCAGAGCATCCTGTGGCTCAGTGGGGTCCACGGGGGTCAGTGCCGGCTTGAGGCAGGGAGCTGGCAACTCGCCCTCGGCTAGCTCCAGGCTGGCCTGCTTGCTGCTGAAGGAGTCCCTTAGGCTGAGCAGCTGCTCCTCTTTCTCCCGCAGCGAGGCCCGGCCCTCCCGCAGCTGGGAGCGCAGCCCCACAATCTCACTCAGCTTCTGGGACACATCGGCCTGCGAGTCCTTCAGCTGCTGCTTCAGGAGTGAAATCTCTCCAGCCTTCTGGCACACCTGGGTAGGGTCGGTGGGAGAAGCCAGGGTGAAGGCAGAGCTCTGGGCACCCCAACCCAGCCCCCATATCCAGCCCCAGACGTACCAAGTCTCTCCAGGGCATCAGACTGGGAGGAAGTGACACACTGGGCCCTCTCCTCAAACTCAGGGCATATACGGCCAACCCTACCCAGCCCAGGGGCAGCTCTAGTCCTCACAGACACTCCTAATCAATCTTGTGGGCCCCCCCACCCGCCCCTCCCCTGGCAACTTTCACTCCCCTGGTGAAAATGGTGGCCTACTGCGCCAGGTTTCTCCAGAGGCACAGAAGGAAGAGGAGACAGGGAGAAGGCCCAAGCCCCCAGCCCGCACCTCCCACTTCGTTTCCTCCATCCGGGGCAGAAAGTCAGCCTGCTCCTTCTGACAGGCGGCCACCTTGTCCTCGAGCTCTTCCCGCTGTCGCATCAGCCGGGCTGCCTCCTCTTGCAGCTGCTTCTTGT